CATAAATTTGGAGGAGGAGAGAACTGCACTCTGAAGACCCGTTACTGAGCAGCTCAGGAAGGAGGTGATCCACTGAGGGCCTGCAGCTTTCCAGAACCAGGCTGCCTCATCAAATGGCCTGCATCAATATAGACGTCTGGAAGTGGGTGTAATGGAGGATTGCTGTTCTAAAAACAACAAAACTGTGTCAAGGGAACGGCTACTTCACCTGCTCTTGACTGGCTTAGCTAACTTTAAGACTGCAGTGACTGACAACATCAAGAGGGGACTTGTGATCACAGTGATAACAGAAGACTGTCAGAGGGGCTACTTATAAAACTAATACACAGAATGTATGTGGTGCCTTTGAAAGAACCAAAGGTTGCTCTTTAAATTGGATTTATAATTTTGTGGTCAATTTCTAGACTGAACTGCTCACCTGAGATGGTGGTAGCCTTCCTGGACAAAAAGATCTTACATTTATCAAGTTTTCATTGTCATAAAATGCCATAACTACAAGCTCACACACTATACAAATGGAGTAGTGAGCTACTGCAGTGAGAAGTGCACCTGCACGCCAGGCAGAGAGGTTACCGAGTCTGATGGCACATAACCTGCATAGGGAAATAGGGAGATAATGGAGGGAAACTGTCGCTCAGGAATATTGCAGAAGAGTGAATGAAAATGAGGGAGGCTCCAGGCCAAAACAGGAGTTTTGGCAAGTCCGCTCTCCGTCTCTTGCTGTCATTACCCAAGCGCTCTACTTGAACAGCTTGCAGAGCTTGTAGCACCAACAGCACTTGCTGTGCTAGGCAAGTCTGCCAGTTTGACATTTTATGTGTCAGAAAGAGAGACCAGGCTGATGATGACAGTGAAACACTCAAGAAGCTGCACTTCATCAATCTATGTGTGACCCAAGAGAAAAAGATGTTCACACTGGATGTACTTGTTGACTTTTATTCACACTGTCATGCAAATCGGCTTTAACCTGCAGGTGTGTCTCAACAAATGTGAAAACCATGAAAATTCAATATTTTCCATCAGCTATGTGAAAAAGGAAAGAGTGGTTAGAAGGATTTAATAAATAAACTTCCCAGATGATGAACATTTGTGTCATTTAAATCCTTTAAGATCTAAAAATATTGAGAAACTTACAGCTCCTGTGAGTCGGGTTTCACAGCTGCTCTCAGTTTTATGTTAATTTTGGCGCCCCCCTATGGACAAAGAAGTCTCTGCTTTAATGTGTTATGATTATTGCTATAAAGCATTATGATCATGTATGAGGGAATGTGGTTGTCTACTGGCTGCTATTAATGTCTTGCACTTGTCTGGTTTGTTTGTCTGCTGATTTGTGTGTTTGGATGGATCAAACGGCAGGGTAACTGTGAACGGAATTGCCCTTAGGGGATAAATAAAGTTGTCTGAATCTGAATAACAATAGTTATACAGTGCTTTAACTAATTATAACGCATTATACATATATTTATAATGTGTAATAGAGATAGGCTTCAAAGAAAGTGTTACCAAAATCTGTATTGATAGCACATGTTTTGACGTAAATAATAAAGTAAACCATATGAAAATCGGTTGAAAAATGAGCAAGATATGATATATTTTCCATGTACATCTAGTGCCATCAATGGGAAAGTTGCCCTCTCTAAGATGGCTGCCATGTAGGGACATTGCTTAGCAGGTTGCTATAACACGCTGGCGTATCAATTCTTCTTATATCTTTGGCCATTTTTAGGGGGGCTTCAAGAGACAGCAGCTAAAAAGGAGTATTTTAGATGAATGCTAAAATAGTTATAATTTAATACACCGCTGTGAGAAATGTGAGGCTATTTTCTATCTCAAAATCATGAATAGCTACTTCAGGTAGGTATCAGAAATTAAATATAGAATCTGAAAAAAAATGCATGATACCCCCCCTTTGATATTGAACAGTAAATGTTCATTTTGGCTGCTGACCTTGCTTTATGTGTGTCTGTTCTGGGAGAGATTTATCTATTTACCAGCTTTTCTTTGTGTGGGAAGGAGCAGTCTATAAATATCTGGGGGAAGCACACATTGTATGGATGGTGCAGCAGGGCGATCTGACTGTATTATTTATACAAGACTATAGAAGCTGGATGTACCAGGCTTGGATAAAAATACGCAGCCTTCAGTAACACTTCCCTGCTTGTTTAGTGGGTCAGTGCTCACAAGTCTGTGTTTTTCCTTGATTTGTGATACTGCTGCTTGTGTTTATACAGTTGCAGCTTCTGAGATTCCACTAAATGAGACACCCTTGTCAGAAAAACTATGAAATAGAGAGTTCAATGATCAGAATTCAGTGACCCTGTTCAAAATCTGGTGTTGTCTCCTCCCTGTTCGAACATCTGCCAAGAGTGACGCAGAGCTGAGGCACCCGTCTAAGGACACTAACTGTAACATGGTACTGCTTGATACCAGATGTTTGAGGTGGCAGTGCTGGTGTAGACAGGTTTTTTTGTGCAAACTTTCAGTATTGTTTTGCTGAAGTGACAGTTCTTATATTTACCAAGTATCATTGGTGCAGAATTTGTCAGCAAACAGGGTTGGCGTTAGCATCTGCTTTTCGGCATGGCCTAATCACAGCTCCTTTTCACCTGGTAAGATACAAGCTCTACAGAAACAGTTCCTAGAAAACTCCTACCTGTACAAAGTACTGTTCACTGTAAGTTTTGCCAAGTAAAAACTGCTGGCCTCAGACAATTTGAGTCTCAGTTGAATTATAGATGTCGCAGTGAATTCCTTTTCCCCCCAGACTATTGTTCTGCTCCGATGGAAACATCAGTGAAGGAGAGTGACAATGTGGACAAGCCAATTATGTGAGTGGCCAGCTGTCATCAGCAACAATATCTCGCCAGTCATCTCTGTCTCAGACTCGGAGCCTTCGCGGAGCCTGAATACACAGCGACAGGAGGCCTCGTAGATCGCAAACTCCTAGCAAATAACAATGCAGATAAAACGGCATACTTCATGAGCTGCAAAGTGCAGATGTGACTCGAGAGCAGTGCCACAACTGTGCATTTGTGTGTTGGGTGAGCGTATGTGTCCAGAGGTGAAAGAGATAGAATGATGGCTCTGTAATCAGGCTAGGTCCCAGGAGGGCAGACAGCAGTGCTGACAGCGAGTTGGTACCCATCTTCAGAGCAGAGCAGGGTTTCTGGGACACAGTCCCCCCCTATTTGGCTTTAAAAAAAATTGCAGTGGGGCAGGGGATATGGAGGCACAAGCAGCAGATGAAAAAAAGAGAGAAAATAAGAATGAAAAACAAGAGGGGCTTGGTTTTCTGGAGGCAAAGTGGTGCTAGTCTATCAGCCTAATTGACAGTGTGTAGATTCTGTGCTGTGTGCGAGTGCAGGGATGATAACAGCCATTCTCTCTTATACAAAAGCAGAGTGGATATCACAGATAGACTGAAGTGAAGCTTAAAGCCTCTTAGACAAGCTGTGTAACACACTTCAAGTCAATGGAAAATCTCAGACTTGTAGAGTCATATAAAGAATCTTAAAACCTAAAGAAAAGAAACAATACTAGGGAATGTAGCACATGTCTGTTTTTTATCCAAGTGACAAACTGCACATATTTGAAACGCTCTCTCCATGCTATGCCTTTTCTAGTAAGGTCAGAGTCAATCTTGGCCCCTGGGAGTTGCCCCATAACACGTGCCTGAACCAAATTTTGGACTGATCTTCTCTGAGAATGTATAAAAAGCCTATCTAGCATCAATACATGGATGATAAATTCTTATATAATGTTCCAGAGAGCAGGGGAAGTGTACTTTTCGAGTTCAAAACCACTAAAGAATACCACTGTAGAATAACATTGACTCTTAAATAATGCCAAGCCCTATTTTACCAAGACATGATAACACTACAGCCATAATGATCTAAATGGATTTGATTCATAGAAAATGGAAAGATTATCCTGGAACTGCTTATTATCTAACCATATATAATCACAACAACAATGCTCGATACTGTAGCATAAATAATACTTATTGCAAAAACTGAGTGTGTGCATTCAAAGCCATGGTGGTGGTCAGTGTTGTCTCTCTGGTGGATCTGAAATCTATCTCAATGGCTTCACATCAAATTTCACCCAGGACAGACTCCGTGAAGAAAGTTTATGGTACAAAACAAAAAATATTTTTGTGTATATCAGTTCACTTTGGAGGGATTAATCAAATTTATGTGAAAACAACTACATGTATGGTGTTTTTACAAATGTCTACAGCAGTCAAATATGAACCCAATTGTTATCAACAATCCTGAATACATGTTAACAGGATTTTATGGTAGTGTGAATCTCTCTTTCTATTGTAACCTTTCTTTCGAACTCTTAGACTGAGTCACTGCCAACTTATTTTCCAACACATACCTGTCTCTGAGGGCAAACATGTAGGGGCTTTTAATATGACTTTTAATGTCAGTTAAACCCACTGAGAATCACTTGCATTGACAGTGGCTCAGTCTCATTAAGTATACCTAAAAGCCCTGTCAATAAACCAGCGTATAGTTTTACAGTCTTGACCTGGTTTTCCTTCATCTAGTTATTCATGTTGATTGTTAAAGGCCAAATGAAAACAGGTTGATAAACTAGAAAATCGTTTTTGCAAAAATAAATAAAAAATAAGAAAAAATATTAGAATGATAAAATGACATTATTGGGGCCAGGGTCTGTCTTACTGATAAGGAAACACTGTCAAAGTACCTCTAGCAGAGACTCAAGTATAGATTATCTGGAAACAACTGCTTCTCTACAAAGAATAAAATATATAAAAAAAGACCCTTTCCACTGGATTATTTTAATCCATCAAATATTTATGTCTTCTCCTCAAATCAACTGTAAACCTACTTAGCACCCACTTTAGCGACGACCACGTCTCTTTCCACTGAAACAGATAAAACAGTGTCAGTGGGCTCCCATTTACCAAATATAGGTTATAACAACACTCAGGCTCGCTCCCTCTCTCACCGGAGTGTACCATCGCAGGGATGAATTTCAACTTGTGCGATGTAAGCCGGAGATGAATACTTCATCCGTGACCCACATAAAGCCCATATATGAGGCTCGGTAAGCGGGGCTCGTCGTGTTTCAGCCCGCTCCTCCGCCGTGCATTCCCGGTGCAGCGGAGAGCTGTTCGCGGCGTGCCTCGCCTCCCTGCTTCTCCACCTGGACCCGACTCCTTACTCTATCTCGCTTCCAGGAAGAGGAGGAGAGGAGGGAGAAGGAGAAGCGGTGCACGCCGAGCGGAAGGCGAGGCAAACGGGAAAGTAAGTAGCTCTGGAAGGGGGAAATTGATGTAAAATAGTCTTGTGTTTGACAGTGGTGAGTCGATAGTGAAAGCGTACACGGCTCAGCTGCACAGGAAAAGCTCGTACTTTAGCTGGTTGTAATGCGTTACTCGTTACCTCTGACGGTGTGTTTGTGTGTGGCGGTCAGGAAACCTCTGGAAAGTTGGGGTTTTCTTCTGTGAACTTAGACTAGAGGGTGAGGAAAGCCCCTATGAAACTGTAAAATGTTATAGTAGGCTAGGGTGGTTATTTGAAAGGTATTTTAAAGATGTTGCTGCATTGCTAGCTGTGGGTCTTATTAAAGTACACTTGTTCATCACACAAGGCTTTTATCCGGCCAGCCACTTCACAGTTCAGTCCCAAGTGTTGTTGCTCCTATTAAACGACTTTATGTTTGCCACAGTGGAAACCCTCTATTAAAATAGTTAAACATAGATGTAGCCTATATTAAAGCTAATAAATAGCATGAACATTTCCACGTCATAATAACTGAGGATTATGTTTGATAAAGAGGCTACCAAATTAAACTCTATAGTTGTACTAAAAGACACACAAAAAGGAAACCAAGCAGCACAATGCAACGATACAGTGCCTAAGAGAGCCGTTTATAATGCTTGCAATGGACCAATATCTGTATTCACTGCCTGCCCATGCCAGTGCCCAGAGAGCAAGTTATAGATGTAATGCTGATATTACATGTTTGCTTCTGTTAATAAGAAACAAGAAGAAACAATGAGAAGCTAGATATGTACAGCTCCGTTACTCCATAGATGTTAAATCTAATATACATGGTTATTTCAGCCAGTAACGCATTTGAGAGAGATTTTCTAATAATTGATGAAATGGCAAGATACATTGGATTGTGGATCAAAATGCAAGTGTAACCGCACTGCTCATAATTATATCACGACAGAGTTTACATGTAACATTAGCCAGTTACTGTTAGAGATGTGATACGCTGGATTTTATCATTTAGGAAAGAGAATGGTGACTGTGGAGAGTTATAATAAAGGTGAAGCAAACTATTCTACTACCCTCCCAAAACTGTGAAACAATAACTAAATAAAATCCCTCCTATTGAAAGCCTGAATATATTTAGATATGAAATATCAATCAAGCAACTGGAGGTAACAGTGATGAGGCTGCCTGCAGTGTCTGCAGACATTATTTCTTTATTTTGCCTGTTGATTTGTCCCAATGCCTGCGCCCTGTGAGTGCTGAAGGATTCATCAGTCTATTTCCACTCATAATTTTACTGAAGTTATAAATGGCATGATATCAAATGAACCCTGACAGTCATAACTCTGGGTAATTATGGATTTTAAGCAGTGCTGATCCATTATTTTCAGGAACTTCTTACTCTTAAACTGGCCTCAAACTTGATGTGTCTTTTTCAGTGATATTGAGTTGTGTACATCATTTGTCATAGTTCAGTAAGTTTTTCAGCCTATGAAAGGATGATTGATGATGATGGATCTTTTGTTACAGTCTTCATGACAACAATGACAGTGAATATAAAGACCAGCCAGGCCCTATCTGAAAGGTCACCTGCTCAATATTCACCACATTTTCATGTCTTTGGACCGCCAAGGCAGAGACGAGGAAGAATGACATTTCCTTCTCCTTTTACTCCCCAGAGGGCAGTTGTCACTCTCCTTCACTTCTACACTTTACCCTCATAGCTGGAAATTCTCAACTTAACTTACAGTGTTAGAACAATTTCATGTTGACCTTTACTGGTGTTGGTGTTGTATGAAATATGAAGACCCCGCCCCAGTTAATGAAAACTGCTGTAACAGTTGCACTTTTGTCATGTCAATGATAATGAAGGGAACTGAGTGAATTCTGGTGGCCAAGTTTGCTTTAATATTTCAAGGCTGCGTCGTCACCGCTGGGAGACAGATGTAGTCCAAAATTAGATGACAGACTGTTGCCCCTTGTTAAAACCAACATGTTAGCAAACAGTTAAAGAAGTGTCTTCTGTAGGCGCTCTGACAGAGTCTGTGCATTAGACACAGCTTTAGAAAGACACTACTTTTTTGACCATCATGGACACTGTTTACCAGGAAGACAAAGTGCTCAAAGTCACACTACTAGTAGAAAAAAAGTTAAAATGTCCAATTTTACTTCAATTAGTACTTCATCATACTTCAGGGTTTTAACCCAGACTTACTGGTAAATCAATCTTTACTGTTGTATTAATAATTCTGACATGATTTAATGTTAAAGCTGACCTATGCTTATGCAGTACACTGGAATCAACCAGTATGAAGATACCAAACAACCTCCTTACAAATACACCAGACAGACCATATTGATAGCACAGATTTGGTATCTTTGGTATCTCCAGTCAACCTCATGATAATGAGCCCATTTACACTCTCTTTTGGCCTCTACTGACTCCTGACTAATAATGTTTGGCTCTCTTGACTGGTTGGCTCTTTTCAGCTTGACAGCTGCCTTATCACTGTGAAGGCTTTTTATCTTTGAATAGCGGCCTGTTTCTGCTGAAGTGGATCTTTGTCATGTTTTGAGTCATACTGCTACCAATCATGCAAGTTGGATTTCCTTAATGTTGGCACTTTACCATTGGTATGACACATTCCCGTGGCCAACTTCTTGTGATCTCACCATTAAAATATTTTGATTAAAGGGACAGCACGATAGCAATACAAGCAATACAAAGCGGTCTACATCTTTACATGCAAATCTCAACCAAAAAGTCACTCTATAGCCTCAAAAAATGCTCAGAACAGCACCTAACTTCATCATCAGTACATAAAGGGTCCCAGCCATAGTACTAGCCATCAAACATCTTTGTAGCTTTGCCTGATTTCTTGAGCAAAGAGACCAAACACAACTCACCCACTCTCCTCCAGCAGCCGCTTGTTTGTGGGGGAGCCCTGATGAGTCAATCACCGAGTGCAACGGAAAATTAATGATTATTACTTCATGGAAATGCAATCAGACCAAGACGCTAAGGCAAAAGAACTACCGCGTCTGAAGTTCACATACAAGATACACAAGAACTCTGATTGCATTTCCATGAAGTAATAATCATAAATGTTCTTCCTTGAACCTGTGAAACTCTGCTGCAGGGGGTGTCTAACTCGGTGTTACGATGTGTTTGACCATAGCTTAAATTTATACCGGAATATCCCTTTAAGTCTCACTAATGTGTTCCAGGTTATAAACCATATGAATTAACCTTATTAGTTAAACTGCAGTCATTTCAAATCACTGACAAGATCCCCTTGTTGTTTTGGACGAGCACTTTGGAGGTGCCATGTTTTCCAAATCCTTTAAGTGGAAGTAAAAAGTCAGACTGATATTTAACACAGGATCACAGAGTCTGCAGATAAACTGTATCAAACTGGTCCTCCTAACACCCACATGCCTCTTCTGGTTACATAAAGCTCCAGTCAAGTGGTTATATACCAGTTTAACACGACACAACCCAGATTCAACTTAACCTTCATTTTCCAGTTTCAGATATTGCCAAACTGTGTTGTGCTCGAAGGTGCTACGCATTACCAGTGCTTGTTTACATCTGGGTTGTAGTGCGTTGAAGTATAAGTAGGTGGCTTTGCTGCAGATACATCATATGGTTGGACTTTTGGATGGACAATGATAATAAAGAAATTAATAAATTCTTGAACTAACTGTTGTTTCTGGTGCTGACTTGCAGGTGTGACATTGTCCGAAAACTGTCAATAAGGCGAGGCTCAAAAAAGGCAAAAAGCTTAAGTGTTAAATTGCAGATTTGCTTGGTGGATTTTTTCCATCAAATGTGTAAATAATTATGGCTTTAATGCCGAGTAGAGAGCTGAACACGAAGCACCTTTGGGAGTTGAAGATGAATTGAACACTCAGAGGCGTATGATTTTAAGTGTCATCTCTTGGACTTCACAGATCCCAGAACCGTGGTGCACAGGAATCCTTCAGGATTTGGTGTCTGGAATTGCGGCCTGAAGGTACAGATTTGTCTTTATTTCTCCTGTGGTTTAAAAGCCTCATCACCTCTCCCGTGCTTTCCTTCCCATTCTCCCCTCTTCACCTCTACTTCCTGTCCTCATCTGTTCTTGTTTCAGGAGGCATTGATTGGTTTCCTCCTTACGCTCTCATAAATACCATTTCAGGTAATTACCATGCAAAGTGTGCAGGCTTGAATCGATGTGATTGGTCGATGGCGGGCTAAGTTATGTGAGCCAGTGCATTGGTTTGTGAGACAAACAGGATGGAGGTGCTTCCTGTCAGAGTAAAGAGGAGGTTAAAAATTGATACAGCGTAAGTCTGTCAGTCACAGCTGTGGGGTTGATGCGTCGGCTCTTTGTGACAGCATGAGTGACACTTTCATACTTTGCATTGGCAGCAGAGCTTCAAAACCACAGTTTGATTGACGACTGGTGCAGAAACTTGATATCATTTCTATTATGCTCAAAAGTTTAAATGCTGCTCTTTTATTTTATCCTGGTGAGTGAGGAAGAATACCTCTATACAGCAGAAACTTCGTAGCATTGGAACTTTTGTGTAGGGAAGTGGGGCCCAGTCACCATGGGGGTTTGAAAACAGTCCAAATCTGACATCAAGGAGCGTTATAGCGCTGCAAAAACTTCAAACTTTTAGTAGGGCTGCACAATTTTTGCCAAAAATAAAATCCTGATTTTTTTTTTTCCTCTGAAAACTCAATTTTTGATTTTTTATTCAGTGGCAACTTCACCAAACTTTGATCTAATAAATTTTTCTAACATCTCTCAAACGACACCGCTGAATACGATGTAGTGCGTATGCCAAGCCAGTGAATGGTGCTGTAACGCTGCCAAGGAAATGCACAAAGAGACAGAAGAAGAGCACAAAACATGCGCAAAGTTTTTTGTGGCTGGACACGCGCAGGCGCAATAAAAGAGTTATGCTCTGTGTCACATAATCGTTTAAAGAGAGATGCAGATTGACATCCACATGGAGATGAAATGGTAGTCATTTACAGATTCATGCACTCTTGTACCTGTTTACAAAAAGTACCCTTTACAGTCATCCGAAACACCGTTTCCGTGTCGATGAAACATGGATACGATGAAAAAGGTTTGCGTTTACTCCTGAATTAGTTTCCGTGTCGACAGGTTGATACTACCTTCAGACCGACTTTGCAGAGAGAGTGGTTTGCTCTTCATGCGAAACTGTAAAGCTGTACTCATTCCATACAACTGACTTGCTCTTCCCCTATTTAGCCACGAAATTATCGCCCTCTTTTGCAAACGCCATGTTTGTTTACTGATGTGTGTGGGAACTGGGGAGCGAAAGGGGAGTCTACGGTGGCCTGGAGGTGTGAGACATGATAGAGAGAAAAATCGATGTGATGATTTTAATGTTTTAACATTGTCATAATCAAATAATCTAATTCAATTTAAAATCGATTAATCGTGCAGCCCTAGCTCCAAGAGAAAGTTCTCAAATTTAATGTCATTTATTAGAGGCTTTGATAGGACGACATAACTCCTGAACCTGAGTCATGGAGTGTTTTATCTGTAAGGTAGTTTCCATAGTAAAGATCAGACAACACAATGTAATATTCTGTTTGTTATAGTTGTAAAAGTTCATATTTGTTGCACAGAATAAACAAAGTTGGATGTGGCCCCTTTGCAAGTAATAGTACAAGTGTGCTAAAATCAAGCAGTATATAAGCCTGCGTGGCATTTGATTCATCAGCTGAGTGAACATTTACCCAATAAGCTAGACTTCAAGTTAAATTCTTCACCTGAGTATGCTCTGCAGCTTCCAGAAGAATTACATTAATGAAACTGTACCAAAAAGTTTCTGCTCAACATTGAATCAACACAGCTTGGTTTAATTATTCACACTTTTAAGCCTTTGCCTCAAACTGGAGCTCTAAATTAAGTTCTTCTCCTGAATTCAGTCCATCTCTGAGAGAGGCCAGGCTCTGTTAAACAGCCTGACCATAGGTCAGCTGTAATGGCAAAACACTCCACAGCCATGACACCCTCGTCTGTTCCTCCTCGACCTTTTGCAGACGGTCCGGTATTCTCAAGAGGAGTAATTGCATAAGGGATTGTCATATATTTTCTTCTTCAACTTTCCGAGCTCTCATTTCCCACAGGATTTGTTGGACACTTATCTTTGGCCAAACTAAATACAACTGCGTCATTAAGGCTGGTCTGCCTTCAGGTGTTGGGTTGATAGAGATCACGCTGCAGTGTTGCTTTATGGATGTCTGACGTGACGCTGGATTAGGACAGGAATTAATGACTTTATCTTTCTCTCGCTGTCTCTCGTACATTCGTCAAACTGACTTTGTGGGTGTTTTTGATGCAGTTTGACTGGTCAGGTGTATAGCTTTATGATGTAGAGGTAGACATAACAGGCTAAATAGTGTTTGATAGTTATCTGTTCATCTTTTCATCATCCTCCCTTCCCCCACATGCGCCATCACACCCGATATAAGGCTGAGTAAAACTCAATAACATAAATTGCTGTGGTAGGCACAAACATACAGTAGCTGAGGCTCCATTTAAGGAGTTTTATGCAGGTGTTTTACATTTTACAGCCTGACTCAATCTCTGTGATTTCCTCAGTTTCAGATTCTAACAGTCCTTCTTACAAACTCCCAGCGACAGTCATTCAATGTTTCCTTTTGTTTTGCTGTGAATACAGTCAGCACACATTTTTGTTATTCAAGGTGGTTTTTAAACAGTTGGCAGATGCTCCACAGCTACCTTTTAAGTGGAAATATAGCATTACAAACAGACACTGCCCTTGACCGGACACTCCAAACAGCCAAATAGATGATGTTATTCGGAGATCTGTAGTTTTTCTACCATTCCACACATTTGTCTTTGTCATGCATTCTTCCACTTTTAACTGTAGCTGCAAGCAAAATCTCCTGATTCCCTGAAGGAGAATCTGTCAGTTTAGGGAACATTGGATTTGATAAACAGCAGAGTTTCCTTCCAACAAAGCATGCAATTAAAAATGAAATACCAGCATGAATTCAGTTTACGTGATGGTGAGAAGACCAGAATTAGGATTTTAATTTTGCTGAATTGTGCAGCTCCACCATGTTTTATTGATAACTCACCCTTAACAGTCAACTTGGACAGGGTTGTTGAAAAATGTAAAAGACTAAATCAAAGAAATGAACTATGAATGATAAACTGATAAACTGTGAATTAAAATAAGCTGCATCGATAAAAATGGAGGAATGGGTCCCATTAAAAATATCTAGATCTAAATGCTTGGTTGAGAGTACATGGGGCAGGGCAACTTGGGCTGTGTCCCACCATGTATCTATAGTAAAAAGGTGTGAAATCTGGTTGCTAGTTGAGGTGCAGGGTTCAAAAAGGTAGTTTGGGCATAATATGAATCAAACCAAATAGAGTGTCTGCTCAGCAGTTGCTTCATTGTTGGCTGCACAAAGCAGCGCAGAAGTCTATTTCTGTAGACTGCAAGAACATAGTCAGGAGAGATAGCTATGCTTACAATATTGTGCATTCTCCAAGTAACAAGAAGACAGCGGAGATGTAACTGTTAGCAGGAGCTAATGTTATCTAGCTACATGTAAGTCACTGTGTACGAACACATGAACAAAGTAAAAAGACGAATATGGAGACACATAATATTTGTAACTAACCATTCAGAAACGTCCTGCTGCAGACACAGAGTTGGAATTTCTTCAGGAGCCTCTCCTTCTGGGTCAGACTCTGGATCAAACTGGTACGGCTGGACCACAGCTCTTCTACGAGTCATACTTAGCACTCTGTGTAAACATTAGCGCATGGTACTGAAGCGCAAGCCACGCCCCCCTCTTCCAGAGAGACCGTTCTCGGTAGAGCTCACTCGAGAGAGTTTTCAGGCTGGCTGAAGTCCAGGAAAAAACTGGGTTTTTAGACAACAAACTTCAAATTGACTTTTCTGGGACCTCTGAGACCTTTGTAAACCTGCTGAAAGGAGTATAATATGGGACCTTTAAATAATTTAAAACTAAGGGCATGCTGACACTAACGGCCCGATCAGATGATTGGCATTGGCTATTTCTTTATGTTTTTAAGAGACTGGGTGATGGACAGCATGCCTGTAGTTTTGGGGTCATGCTGGATTAAAGCAAGAGTGTAAACAGACAATGGTAACTTTGTCCTTATGTTCCTGCATCCCAGATCAGCATCTTACCAAAAGCAGTGTCATGATGTAAGCCACCAAGGGAAGAAACCCAGGTCTCAGCTCTGTGGCTCAATAAAAAACTTATTTTCCTTGTATCAGCAAACACACAGATATTGTTTTATCACTGGGAGCTGCTGTGTATGTGTGTTTGTGTGTGTGTGAGCTGCAAGTTTATTCAACATAGACACAAGTCATGACAATACCATTGCCACTATTGCTGCAGGCCAAAATGCTTCACCCCAGGGTGCAGTAGGGCCCTAAATGTGAAATTGAGCTCCAAAAACGGGCCCAGCCAGGTCAGCTTTACTTGTTACAGTCATAAACAAACTTGAACTGCCTGAGGTCAGTTTGCTTGGAAACTGCTGGCGGGCCTGTTTTTACCTTATCCTTACCCTACACTCGCACCACTGATCTTCAAAGAGTCACTGAGCTGTTGTCCGTCTTCAGTGTGTTCACAGCAGACCAAAGCGAGCAGACTGGTTAGACTTTGAACCTGCAGACCAGGTAGATAAAAGCCAGCTCCCCGCAGAATACCCAGTCCAGACCTGGTACGCTCCACACACACAGAAGAGGTAAACACACTGCTTGTTTTTCTACAGATTCCCTAACACCACAACACACCTCCTACCACAGAGCAAACGGTCGTATAGAGGTGAGTCCTAAGGAGGAAAATGTACAAACGCTCTCGCTTTGAAAGTCAACCGCTCAAATCTTGAAAGGGTGTAAGAACAGCAACACACACACACACACACACACACATAAAAGCGCTGTGCAGTGAAAGAACCATTAGGGAGTTAATTCCAATTCTGCTGACAGTAGATAGGTCCTACCATTCTCCCTCTCAATCACATAGTAATTACTTATAAGGCCACAGGGATTATAATGTCCCCAGCTCCTCTCTGTAATAGAGCCTGCTCCACATAACCCGTTAGTTTTGCTACCTAGCCTCTATCATCCCCTTCATTAATATATCCCTCCGTCTCATTATCCCATCCATGTAATATCCTCCATCCATTAACTTAGCCCACTTCCTCCTCACCAGAACCCCCCCCCCTTCCCTCTGCCTCTCATCCATCTTCCCTTCTTCTTCCTCCTCTGCTCTTTTCTCCACTCAAGCCTTCACAGCGCTGCCACAGTGGATCAGCTCACTCTTAATTTGACTCCTACACAGCAGTCAGAGAAAGGGAGCAGAGCCACTATGCCCTGAATAAACGAGTGCTTGAGCCTGGGTGGGGGTTGTGCTTCAGGGACTCAACACGGCACCCAAGAGTTAGAGTCGACATTGTCTTTATGTAACCAAGCATGTTCTGTGCCGCTTAAACACGTCAAGCTCCGCTTTTCTTAGGTTCTGCTAATGTTGTCTTTTTCCTAAGCGCCTGTATCTATTTCTGTCTCGTCTCCATGGCGTCTAGCAGAAAAACATGCAAAATGTAGACGTGTCTTGTGGTGAGCTTCTTCACAGCTTAAACTGATTTCAACTCTCAGATGACATCTCATTAAAACGTTACGGATGAAAAAGCAAGCGTGCTCAATGTTTAAGGGCTGAGGTATGTGCTGTATATTGTGTTTAAGAAGGTGGTTAACCTTTGGCCGGTGATGCACTTAGAAGCAATTAAGTTCTTCTGTTTTTGACGTGAATGCAGGGGGCGGCGTACTCATACTAATGGGATTAGTACAACCAAAGATTGGATGTTCTCTCTACTTATGATTTTATTAAGGTCCTTTGTTATTTTTCATCATGTAAAAAAGCTGAAAATTTAATGCTTGTTTTCAATGTACGTCCAAATACAATTTGGTGGCAGACCTCATACATACACGATATTTTCTAGCTCTTGTGGGCTTCCATGAGAGCTGGAAGTTCAGTTGTCATCCTGTGTATAAAATCTGTAGAGATTGGGTTTTATGGTGGGCATGATGGGACCTTCAGGCTCAATCTAAGGAGAGTCTCATGAAAAATCCAAGTATTTGTTTTGGATATCAGTTTTTATACATTTTATTTTACAGTAATTGCACTTTTAATGATGATAGACCACATTAAAGAAAACTGAAGATTTCTCTTTAATCAACTTCCTATGAGAATAGAGTCAAATTGGTTTGTTTAATGAGAATTAAATTGAATAATTTTCCTAAAAGTATAAAGTCTTAGTCAAGTCATTATACAAAAATACAGTTGTAAGAAAAACAAGTTATAATGTTATGAGGTGAAAATTATAGCAAAGTCATTATATTGTCAGAGTTAAGTTGTGTTAAAGTGGTAGTTTGGTTTTATAGTGCAGAGCCAGATGCTTTTAGAAAAATGAGAAAGTGGAGCATCTGGTTAAACTGTGTTTGTTGTTTTGGTCCCGATATGGTAGCATCTGAGCTTGCAGGGCAGAACACAGCCATGTGTGTGTGACTTAGGGATGGGACTTGATAAGCTTTTATCGATATCGATGCCATTTTTGATTCAACTCTTGAACAATCCCCTTATCAATGCCTTTCTTTGATTTAAAAAATAAGGAGACTATAGGTTTTCACCATTAACTTCAAATTTTATTGAGTCTCTGATAACAGAAAAAGATGGATGCCACCTTCAGTGAGAGTCTAAAAATATTCAAACAACAAACTGTTTGTACAGCATTTACTTTGGTCGATATTAAGTCAAATTAGGGCCGGGTGATTTTTACGCGCTTCTAACTCAGTTAGTCAATGCTACAAAAACTCAAAACTTCCATACAAAACCCCGGAAATTTAAAGGATTATATAAACTACCCTAGACAAGGCCGGACAGCCCCTGTCGTCTCTCTTATTCAAATGAAGTTACGCTTTAGATCGTTTCTGCCTACTTTTCGAACTGTCCGCCATGTTTTTTCCTCCAAGTCTCTGTTCTCAGTTGCGTAGACCAGCTCCGGAAAAAAGGACTTATTAAGGAAATGGTTAAGATAAAATGTAAACAATGTCAATGGATTGAATCATTTGGAACCGGTTCTCGATTACCATCCCTATTGTGACTCCCTATTGTGTGTTTTCAAGCCAATCCTTGCTTTTGAATTGCTGTAATGGGATGTGAACTCTGCCACCAGAACACGGATGTCATGCTGTTTTTGGGAACAATGTGTAAGTTCAGAGGCTAAGCCGTGGCTGAACGTCATCCAGCACTGTTCTGGGCTAGCATTGTATAAGAGGCACATGTGCTCTGTGCAGCTGAGACAGCAAAGCAAACACTTTGCATCACATCCACCCCATTAATGGTCCATGTACCTCGCCACATTGTGGACTAGCATCTGCACAGGGTTCACTGAAAGCAGGCACACACTCTCCTAAAATCTGCACTGCATAATGAGTGTCTGCCTTGAGCATCAAACCAGGCTATCTGTGACAACAGCTGAGTCTCACTGCATGTTTACTTTTTATTAGTTACGGACCGCATGCACAGCAGTCAGTGCTCTGTGTGTTCCAAGGAGAGGCTGCAGTCGATTGCTATCAGACACCCTGATGATAGTTAATGTGGAATAATCATGTAGAGAAGAAACCACCAAGATTTTGGCCTCCGCTGTGTTTGATTCACAGTAAAAATTACACAGCATTCATCCCTGATGTCTATCACATATGTAAACGGAAATATTTGTACAGATAAAGCAAAATGACAAATCTAAATACTTGATCGGCAGAATGGCAACCAGCAGACATCAGAGTCTGGGAATATTTGGACACAGTAAGGCAAAGATGATGACTTCTTCAAGTGGTCTGGAGTTAGTTTGTTTGTACTGGAACTCAGTAGCTGGACAAATACACCCCTCATTTCAGTACTCATAAAGTGACAGTGACTGTCCCACCATATGACTGAATGTGCAGTTTAGGAACATTTGTGCTTTGCTTAGTATAAAACATTTTGTTTGTTGGCCATTTACAGAATATAAACTTCATACAAACAGGATTTTATTGGTGCATACAAAATAGAGAGGCAGCAGACTCTAGACATGAGATGAATTTGTTGTCTTTGGGACCAGAAAAGTACCACAACAACCCAACAACCATGGGAGATAAGTTGGGATGTAATGGTATGAAAATTCTACCTCAAGACAATCATCTTCACAAATAAAGGTTTGCTTCAGCTGTTTGTATCTTACAATATTAGCTGCTAGATATATTCTCCATGGCAACAGGGGCTGCACTCAAGGTTGTTTACATCAATGACAAGTCAATAAGTTGGACAAACAGATCACTGCACTCTCCCTCAACCTGAAGTGCCCACATCATGTATTTCAGCTAAAACCTGAACGTTTACTTACCTTGTACTGGCTGTAAAGTTGCAGGTGATGGTCATGGAGATGAGTCATTAGGTTTGAGGTGTTGCTGCCTTTAACAGCAACTTCTTGCCCATACCTCAGACTTGGTCCTTTGAGAGGGCTGATGGATGTCTTGGGCGCTGTTGTCTCCTCCTTCCGCCATGATTCCATTTCAAACTTATTAGAAATTTTAAACGAAAGTTGTAGGCTACACAGTGCGCCTGCGCGGATACTTCTGGAGACTCGGATGAAGCTGGGATCATCTAACATATTCAGGGTTTCCCCGACATGCAATTGAACGTGGTGCACCGCAACGGCTGAATAAAAGCCGCCACACCGTAAAAATAAGGCTTTTTCTTACGTGGTTCTACCTCGGACTCAATATGTATCAGCATACACCGTGGAGCGCGCGCTGGGTATTAGCATTAGCGAGGTAACATAGGCGATCACACAGCTAATTGATTTGCAAGTTATTGTCGGTGATCACACAGCTGTTTAATAACTGAGTTATCTTGAGCGATCTCACTGCTGATTCATTACCCTCACTGATTTGCGAGGGTAATGAATCAGCAGGTCCTGGAAAGGTCCTGGAAAGTTTCAAACGACTGGCATTCAGCAATGAATCAGTTTTATCAATCAATCAATCAATCTGATCAGACACCAGTTCATTCCCACCATAACAGTTTATTCCTGCCTTCTTGTGGTATTTGGTTTTGCGATGGTCCGCACGTTTTGCCGATTAAAGCATCAGACCCACTTGGTTGTTCCAGCACCTGAAAGGAAGCCCCACAGTAAAGCTGTTGAAGTTTATTGCACATGACAGCAGAAACCTGAAACTAAATTGGATATTGTGTGAAAAATCTTGAGATCATTTTTTTTTATTTTGCCAAATCGACCATGCTGTAGTGTCCCTGTCTGGTTTCACTTTTAATTATCCGCTCCCTGACCCAGAGCGCCCCACAGACATGCTGCATCTCCTTCTCTCTATCATCTTTCTCCCTGACAAGGTGTTGGTGTTGTGTACGAGGGTCTCACCCGCTCCCATCAGTGTTCACACGGATGTCTATGGCAGCTTATCATCCTCCTCCTGTTCCACTCTTTAAATATAGACAAATCTGGGGCCTCACCAGTACCTGCTCTCAAGTGCTCACACAATTACTGCAGTGGCAGAGTTCAACTTAGCACATTTGCACCGACAGGGGACGCATGAATGCTCAGGTTAATCATAGTCACAGTGAGCTTCACCTACGGGCAGAGGCAGTCTGTATTCAGTCTGTATTCAGTCTGTCTATGGTCATTAAAAAGAAG